CTCCGTGTATATCCTCAATGTTCTGGAGATTTCTGTGGGGAAGACAACACTCAGTTGTTTGCTTACGTCTTCAGAAGGCTGCCTGTAAGGAAAGGGGCCTCCAGGAACCAGGAGAAAACTTCTGTAGGACACAGGGAAGAACCTTTTTGGTCTCTGGGGTGATTATTTAGCCTTGGGACGAGTGCTCTAGCCTAGGGCCACTGGCCCTGGCAATATTTGAGAAGCAGCCTGTTCTCCTGCCCCAAGTGCCTCAGATATGCACCTGCTCAGTGCCCACTAGGTGCTCCCCGGCCCCACTCCAGGTCTGTGACATCTGCTTCCTGGCAGCCCTCTGGAGAGGGGTAGGTGAGGTCTAAAAGGAGTGCTCGCCAGACTGCCTGGGCCAGCCTCCTCCTTCTGTCCCCTCACATTCACTTCAGTGTGTGTCCATAGCCAGTCTGGTTGGCATGTCATGACGTCATCTGATCCTGCTGTTCCAGCCTGCCATGCACAGTGGACTCAGAAAGAAGCTGGGCAGGGCTAGTGGAAACTACTCAAACAAGGCCCTCTTGGTGACTCAGGAGACCTCGAGAGCCATTTAGTTCAACCTCCTACAGAAATAGCTTTCTACAGTGCAACAGATGCTTTACATACATTCTTTTGAATTTGCACAACGTTGGAGGGAAGGTTTCACAAGTGTGGAGTTAGAGACTGAGACAAGTTATTTGCTAGTAGAGGAGTGCCTGCTGAGTCTACATGGCAGTAAAATCTGTGTCCTTGTATGCAGATGTGAACACCGCAGGCCAGAGTGGGAGCCTCCCACCCAAAGCCACACATGCCAACCTGGGACTGGAATTAAGGGTCCTAACTATTCTTCAAGGAATCCTCCTAAGACAGGCATCCTCTTCTGTCGTTTAACGTGGGAGGTCAAGGATGTGGCCTGGCCCGGGCCAGCCTGTAACTGAGCAGCCAGGCTCCGGACAAATGCTGCCCACAGGCCGCGCTCTCGGCTCTCCAAACTCTCGTTCCAAGCCCGCTTCCAGGAAGACGGAGCGGGACAAAGGGCTGGGCTAGTGCGATTCTGGAGCAGCCACTCTGGGGCCAGGGTGGAGGCAGCGAGGTGTTATTGAAAAACTCTGACCTGAGATCAAGTTCTGGCTTGGGGCCCAGCAAGTCACTTAAAACTCCGAGTTTCCTCATCTGCAAAATGGGGGATGTGTGTAAACTGCACTTAAAGCGGGCACGAACGCAAAAGCAGTTATTTTGGCCCAAAGCAATACCATCACGTCCTAGGGAATCGTCCGAGGGGCCTCGCCAAGAGAAGGCGGGCGCCGGGAAGGAGACTACAAGTCCCAGGTGGCGTCGGGAGGGCCGGTACGAGGGCAGGGGAAGAAACTACAACTCCCAGGAGGCACCGGGCAGGTCGGCGCTGGGCGGTGACGCCACGAGGGCCGGCGCGGGGCGCTGATTCGGCCGGAGGGCCAGCGGGGTGGCTACCGCCGCGGGTTGTTCCTAAAGCAGTGGCCCCCGCCCCCGGGCACCTCTTGCGGGCCCTCGAGGGCCCTAGACCCCCGGCCCCGCACGGTGAGTCCGAATGGGCGGCCCGGGTGGCCGAACTGGGAGGCTCCTGGCGCTCGAGGTGGGGCGGGAGGGGAGGTGGGAGCTGCAGGGGAGGCGCCCCGAGCTGGAGGGGGCCGCCGCCGGGCGCACACGGAGGCGGGGGCGTGCGTCTGCCCGCGGGATACCCAGAGGCGACCGTGGGGGCGGAGGCCGGGGGTGGAGCGTGGGGAGGAGCGCCGGAGCTCCGGCTCGGGGTGAGGGGCCCGGGGCGGCTGGCTGGGCTTCGGGGATGAAGGTTTGGCCGCTTCCAGGGCTGGTGGACGCTTGGAGGTGGGGGTGAGGCTCCGGGCCCGGCCAGGCTCCGAGTGCGAGGTCCCCGGCTGGGGAGCGGAGCGGGATGTCCCCCATTCGGTTTGAGGTCCCACTCAGAAAACCCAAACAATAGTGAGGACCCCGCCTCTGCGCTTCACCTACTCCCCGGGAGAGTAGGGGGTTCGCCCCAGGATTCGCCTTCTTTCCATTCCCACCGCCCTCCGGAGTCCGGGAGGCAGGGCCTGAGCTAAGAGGTAAGCGACTGTGGTGAGGGGTGGGCAGAGAGAAAATGGCATTGTGCGTGCTGCCAGCGACTCCCCTTTGGGGTCCATTTGCAGGCTTAGATGTTTTGTGCTCCTCACCCCGAAGGGAAAAGGTTTGCGCTTAAAGGGCTGCCCTATTTGAGCGAGAGAATGAGCATTGCTCACCTGGCAGCTGCCCTGGGACACGCTATGGTCTTGGCTTAGGTGTTTGACAGACACGCCGGGCAGGCGTGTTTGTGTGTGGAGTCAGGGGGAGGGGAGGGGAGGGAAGTAGTGGGGAAGAGCTACCAGCAAGAAAGTAGTTAACAACAGAGTTGCTGGAGGCTCTGGTTTGAGGCAGGTTATGAAACCACTTCAGGGGCTGGCACGGGGCGGCCACCTGCCAGCTGTGGCCTGGGAACTTTTCAGCCTCAGCTGCTGTAGACTTGCTTCTCCTCTGCCAGCTTCTTCTCCCTGGCATCTCTCCTTCTGGGCCGGGGGCAACTGGTTAGTTTACAAAGGGAAGTGAAATGTACCCTGAGCCGCACACAAGGCTCCACAAGAGTGCTTCCTGGCTGCCAATGGTTTTCTCAGGTTATTGATCGGGCCTGTCTTTTTGGGAGGCTGTGGATCTCCTGGGATTCCTGTTCTCAGGGCAGACAGTGTTCAGGTTCAGGAAGAAGCTTTCCAGAGTGTCTGTTAGGCCCTAAGTGCAGGCCCCTCCTAAGCTCATCGGGCTTCATCGGATGCCCAGTTCCAGCCAGAAAGGGATGTAGAATGAGCTGGGATTCAGTAAGACTCCTGGCGCTCCTGGACAAAATGCCAGAGAGGGCTAGGGGTCTCTGCTTCTACACCTTGGAGGTCCAGGTAGGGAGTAGGGGGGAGGGGCAGCAGCAACTGGTGGACTTGGGAACTGCTTCTCTTTCCTTAGTAAGTCCTTCAGACCCCTCACTTCCTAGCCACCCCCAATCTCTCTCCACCTACCCCCCAAGGTGTAGGCTTTTGCATAGTTGGTTCCCAGGAGCTGTGTTAGGGTAACTGAAGCCCCAAGCCCCTGGGAAGGTAAACAACTGAGCCAGTCCAGGTTTTCTAGTTCCCTGGGCTTCCGTTGGGCCCAATTAGCCTGCCTAATGCTGAGGTGATGGGCCCCAGGAGCATCGATTCCTCTAGGATGCACCCTGGGTCATTCTCGTATGTTTGCACATCGGAGAGGTGGGTTGTGTGTCCCATTTCCCCTGAGGTCTCTAAGCTTTGAGTTGTCTGAGAAGGGGAAACTTGTTCTCATTATCCTGGACCTGAGGAACCGAGAATTCTGGCGCCAATACAGGCTTGGCCGTGATCCAGTCAGAGATTGATTGCAACTGAGTCTGAGGGGGTTCGTTGGAGCAGGGTTAGGGTGTGGCCTTCTGGGCACTTCCAGGGCACCCACACCTGGGACTCCGTTCTGTGTCCCCAGGAAAGATGGGGCTGTAACCATGGTGATGACCTGAGGGTCTCTATCAGGCGGGACCCTCCCTCAGCTCCGGAGGTGAGCCAGTACAAAGGCACCATCTGTTCCACCTCCTGCTGGTCACAGGGCCCTCAGGGATCTGGGGACAGCGGAGCTCTGGACAGGGAAGGCAGCTAAGTCGCATGGTCACCTGGGCACCAAGGGCAGTCCTCCAGGTTCCTGGCGCTGCATGCTTCTGCCATCAGGGCTGGGCCAGGGAAGGCACGTGCTCCTAACACCTGGAAATAGGTGGTGGGAACGGAAGCGGAAGTGAGGATGGGTGGGTAAGGGAAGGAGCAGGAGAGAGGCCGCAGGTAGGTTTGGTGACATTGAGAGGGGATGTTGATGTGGGTTCCAGCTGCTGCGGGAGCTGTGGATGTTGGCTGTGTTCTCTGTCCTCGCCTCTCTGGTGGGGAAAAGGCCCTGTTGGTTTGGCAGCAGAGGGGGTGGCATCACGAGGGTTAGCCTGAGCTGCTGCCAAATGGATAAAACATCTGATTGGGCTGTTTTGTGCTGAGTTTTGTGTCACCAAGAAGGAGGCTTCCAGGTCTGGGCAAAGGTTGATCCCAGTCTGTCATTTTCCCTTTTTTTCTCTCTCACCTCTCTCTTTTTTTTTTTTTAAAATATATTTTATTGATTTTTTTTACAGAGAGGAAGGGAGAGGGATAGAGAGTTAGAAACATCGATGGGAGAGAAACATCAATCAGCTGCCTCCTGCACACCCTCTATGGAGGGTGTGCCCACAACCCAGGCACATGCCCCTGACCGGAATCGAACCCGGACCCTTGAGTCCGCAGGCCAACGCTCTGTCCACTGAGCCAAACCGGTTTCGGCTCTCTCCCGCCCTCTTTTTATCCTGTCAGTCTTCCTGGGTCTGGATTGTAGACCCAGTATTGGAGAATTAGGGGAGCTGGGTAGAAGCAATGACCCCCTCCCCCGAAATATTTCATCCAATGATCTCCTTGCCTCTTTTTATCCCATCTGATGAGGGAAGTGGGAAAGGGTTAGATGTCCATATCAGCCCTCATGCGAGCCCAGCAGGGTTTGTGCTGAGTGATTCTTAGGGTACAGGCTTTGTGGGAAGAGGGCTCTGGTGAGAATGCTCTGGAGGATGAGACTGAGGCAGGGGCAGTGGTTTCTTTGCTCTGGGGCTGGATGCTTCCTGACCTGTCCACCAGGCAGTCTGCCTGGGAGGGGACTGTCCCGATGGGTGATGGATGGTGCTTATCCCATCCCAGCACTTGGGAAATGTGTAAGTTAAGACTTTCTCTGGCTTCCTTGTTTATGAATCAAAACAGTAGAACTGCCTGGAGTTCTTGGGGAGAGCAGGGTCTGGAGGGGGAGGGGGCAGAGGAAGCGGGGTGACCTGTCTCACCTGTGCTGCGTGCTTGCAGAGCAGCAGCAGGAGGGGCAGCAGGATGAACGTGGGCACGGCGCACAGCGAGGTGAACCCGAACACCCGGGTGATGAACAGCCGCGGCATCTGGCTCTCCTACGTGCTGGCCATCGGGCTCCTCCACGTCGTGCTGCTCAGCATCCCCTTCGTGAGCGTCCCTGTCGTCTGGACCCTCACCAACCTCATCCACAACATGGTGAGGGCCTGCCTGCCGCCCACCGACCGTGGGAGCTGCCTCTGGCGGGACTGAGGAGTACAGGGGGGCCCCAGACCTGGGCCAGAAGTCAGGGTGACATCTGATAACGTCTGTCACCACAGTCCAGACCAAGCTCTCATCTCTGACCCACTCCCCCTTCTGAGTTCCATTCCTGTGCACTCCAGTAAGAGGACTAAAATCTGTAGATTTGTCCCATCTCCAGGATGGGGTAGTTTGTGGACCTGGAGGATGGGCCATTGAGAGCTGAACTATGAGTCCCAAAGGGCTCCCGGGACCCAGGTGCCAGCCTGGAGCAGAAATGCCCCTTTCCCAATTGAGGGTCTCACATCTCTTGCCTCTCTTTGCTCTCTCACCACCTGCTTGCTACCTTTCACTCTTTTTAAAAAAATATATTTTATTGATTTTTTTTCAGAGAGGAAGGGAAAGGGATAGAGAGTTAGAAACATTGATGAGAGAGAATCATCAATCAGCTGCCTCCTGCACCCCCCCCCCCCCCCCCCACTGGGGATGCTCCTGCAACCAAGGTACATGCCCTTGACTGGAATCGAATCTGGGACCCTTGAGTCTGCAGGCCGATGCTCTACCCACTGAGCCAAACCGGTTAGGGCTGCCTTTCACTCTTCGTGGCGAGGCAGGGGCCCAGTTCCTTCCCATCAGCCTGGCCCCTCCCAGCTGGCACAGGGAAGCTATCCCCTTCCCTGCCAGGCCTGCCCTCTCACCCTTATTCTCCTGCCAGGCTCCGGGTCCGGCTGCTTCACCCTGACTGCCAGCCCCATGCCCCCGCACAGAGGGAGGCGCAGGCCACCGGAGCCCGCTTCTGTGCCGGGTGGAGGAGCTGAGCTGGAGGGCCTTTGCCTTTTGTGTCCTCTGATGCAAGCCTCTCCCCCCAGGGTATGTACATCTTCCTGCACACGGTGAAGGGGACCCCCTTCGAGACCCCGGACCAGGGCAAGGCAAGGCTGCTGACCCACTGGGAGCAGATGGACTACGGGGTTCAGTTCACAGCGTCGCGGAAGTTCCTGACCATCACCCCCATTGTGCTGTGAGTGTCCTGGACAGCGGAGGGTGCTGGTAGCAGGCCAAGGCCCTGGGGCACCCGGGGGCCCCACCAGGTCTGAAGCCCTCCAGTTTGACTCTTAGTGTGGGAATGAAGAGAGGAAGTCGGAGCATCCCTGGCCATATGCTGGGCTCAGGCCCTGTGCCTCCCTGACCCTTTTTTCTTTTCTTTTCTTTTCTTTCTTTCTTTTTTTTAAAATATTTTTTATTGATTTTGTACAGAGAGGAAGGGAGAGAGATAGAGAGTTAGAAACATCGATGAGAGAGAGTCATCGATCAGCTGCCTCTTGCACACCCCCTACTGGGGATATGCCCACAACCAAGGTACATGCCCCTGACCGGAATCGAACCCGGGGCCTTTCAGTCCCCAAGTCGACGCTCTATCCATTGAGCCAAACCGGTCTCGGCTTTTTCTTTTATTTTTAAAAAAAATACATTTTATTGATTTTTTACAGAGAGAAAGGGAGAGGAATAGAAAGTTAGAAATATCCATGAGAGAGTAACATCGATCAACTGCCTCCTGCACACCCCTTACTGGGGATGTGCCCGCAACCCAGGTACATGCCCTTGACCGGAATCGAACCCGGGACTCTTGAGTCCACAGGCCGACGCTCTATCCACTGAGCCAAACCAGTTTCGGCTCCCTGACCCTTTTTTTATTTGGGGTTTCCTTCCTGCCAGTGAGGTAGGCCCACAGGCCTGGGGGACAGCGAGGGGACTGAGTTGGGAGGGGTGTCTTTATTTGGGGAGATCTTGCCATCTTCTGTCCTGGGGGCCTTCCCCGTAACTTCTCAGCTGTCAGGAATTTGCCTCTCCCCACCCGGGAGTGAGGGAGGAAGGGTCCTTCAAACAAAGGCTCACACCTCTCCTTAACCTTTCCCGCAGGTACTTTCTCACCAGCTTCTACACCAAGTACGACCAGATCCATTTCGTCGTCAACACTGTGTCTTTGATGAGTGTGCTCATCCCCAAGCTGCCCCAGCTCCACGGAGTCCGGATTTTTGGAATCAATAAGTACTGAGGAGACAGCCTCCTTCCCTGTCCAGATGGCGGGAGAGTGGTGGAAGCCTGTTCTGTGTTGCTGAAGACAGGAGTCTCTGGAGACTGCCAGAACTGGGGGCTGTGCCTCCGGGCCCGTTTCCCCCTCTCTTCCCCCGGTAGCCGACTTGAAGTAGCTTGTAGCCGGGTTGGGGTGGGACCTTCCCCCCACTCCTCATCCCCCGGACTCTGACCGTCTGATTTTTTGAGAATCTTTTTCTTTTGCCTTTTGGATAGAGACTCTGAGGGGGTGGTCATGGCATGAGCTGGGCTCCAGGCTGAACACAGACCTGTGAGCTTGGGACAAGAGGCCAGGGAAACCCCCTGCTCACTTGCTCATTCTCAGACCGCTGAAGCACTTTAACCCCCGTGAGGGTACGGTACAGCTTCTAGATTGTTCCACTTTAGTTCTCACGTTGTTAGGATGACTCGCAGTGTGTGCTTGTATTTATGAAAGCCAGTGGGTGATGGTGCCTCATCCCTCTGGTGAGAACGTCTAATCAAAGCCTCATGCTTCTGTCAACTCCCCTACAGCCCACCCCGGGGAGTGGGTGGGAGTGGGGAGGGTAAGGAGAGGGATGGTGGGGCTGGGCATGAACGGCCTGGTGAGTTGAGATTCAGAAAAAGGGGATCACATAGCAGCAGAGATTGGTGGGAGGGAGAAAAGGGGGGAACAGAAGCTAGACGTCATTCTTGGAAAGTGGTCAGAGAGGGGCCCCATGCTCGCTCGGAGAGTTAGTGTCCCATGGCGTGAGGGTGGTAAGACGAAGGGAGGCTGCGTGGGTTTGGAGCTCTGGGTTGGTGTGATGGGGTGGAGATGGTGCAAGAGGCCATTACGTCGTTAAAGCACAGGCCCAGGCTGACACTGCTGCTGCAGTATTGTGAACGGACAGAAATGATGAACGGTGCGGTCCTTCACCTCACAGCCTCTCTGTAGGCGAGCGCTGGGGCAGGGCCTCTCGTGTGACATGTGGGGCTATTGAGGCCACCCCAGGCGGGTCAGTGGGCTCAGACCCCTGCCTCAGCCCTGCTGGTGCGGGGAAGGAGTGAGGAGGGGCAGGCGCTGTCTCCTCACTCTGAGGGGCAGAGAGGTGGGCAGGAGCCTGAGCGTGGCTGGGAGGGGCTGCCTTCCCCTTCCCCAGTCTCACTGGGGTCTGTGTTACTTTTGAAAAGGTCCGGGTTCCCCCTCCCAGGGCCCTGAGGAACGAGGGAAGTCATTGGCTCTGTTTTCTGCCTCTTGGGCCCCCAGCCCCCACTCCATGTATCATAGGGAACTTTCACCTCAAAATCTTTCTAAGCAAAGTGTGAATAGGATTTTTACTCCCTTTGTACAGTATTCTGAGAAATGCAAATAAAGGACACCGTGTTCCTGAGTCTGGCCTCTGCTTCCTAGAGAGCCCTGGGGGCGGGGCAGGGGAGTGGGCCACAGCCCCTGCTGTGGGCAGTGGGAGCCTGGGTTGGGCCATCCGCCTGGATGGGGAAGGGGCCCTGGGACTGCTCTCTCCCTGCAGTCGATCCCCAGCAGAGCCGGGAGCTGTGAGGGGACAAAGCAGCCGCAGGCGGAGAGCAGAACTCTGTCTGTGACTGCCTGGCTGTTGGAACCTCGGGAAGGAACTTCCAGGCTCCGCAGGCTGGGCTGGCAGAGAGACGGGGGTACGCCATGGCCAGGGAAGAGGTCAGCCCAGCAATGGCTTCAGGAATGAAGCCAGAGTCCGAGGTGTGCCCCATCTTTTCCTCTGAACGCCTTCCCCGTTCTGACTCCCCCTAGTCCTCCCTCTCTGGGGGGGCTCCCCCTCCTCCTGGCCTTTGTCTCAGAAGATCTTCATGCTTCTCCCTCCCCCCCCACCTGTAAGCATGAGTGGGAGGGGCAGAGGTAACCCCCAGGATTTAGTTCGGCTCATGGCCAGAGAGGGAGTCCTTTAGCAAGGGAACTTACCTCTTTGAATTCTTATCTCCAAGGTTCCTAGCATTCAGTTTATTCTGAGCAGTAACCGTCTGCTATTCCCAGGACGGGTACAAAGTCCTGGGTGGAAGGGAGGAGCGGCCCGCAGCCAGGGCTCCTCGCTGGCCCTGGTCCAGCATCTCAGTCCTCGGAGCGGGTGTCGGGGAGAGTGCAGGATCTTCACTGAAATCCACCTCCCACCACCCCTGCTGCGGCTCACACAGCACTGGGAGGAGGATGCAGCCACCGGGCTCAATCTTGGAGGCGGGGCGCCCTGCGAGCTCCCGTGGACCTGCAGCGTGCAGCCAGGTGAGGGCTTGGGACAAGCAGCAATCACTCTGCTGCTTGCTGGCTTTGTGGCCTTGTCAAGTTACTTCTCTGAGCTTCAGATTCTCCCTCTGCTGTATAAAGATAGTACTTCTTGCACTAGCCGGTTTGGCTCAGTGGATAGAGCATTGGCCTGTGGGTTAAAGGGTCCTGGGTTCGATTTCGGTCAAAGGCACGTATCTTGGTTGCCATCGCCTCCCCAGCCTGGGTCTTGGTTGGGGTACATGCAGGAAGCAACCAATCGATGAGTTTCTCTCACATCGTGTTTCTCTGTCTTTCTCTCTCTTTTCTACTCTCTCTAAAAATCAATGGAAAAATAGGTTAGAGCGTCGGCTTGGGGACTGAAGGGTCCCAGGTTCGATTCCGGTCAAGGGCATGTACCTTGGTTGCGGGCACATCCCCAGTAGGGGGTGTGCAAGAGGCAGCTGATCGATGACTCTCTCTCATCGATGTTTCTAACTATCTCTCTCCCTTCCTCTCTGTACAAAATCAATAAAATATATATTAAAATAAAAAATAAAAAAATGGAAAAATATCCTCGGGTGAGGATTAACATCAACAACAAAAATAGTGCTGCTGTGAACTTAGATGTGAAAACATCTCTAAAATAAAGTAAAAAAGATAATACCTCTTAATGCTATTGTTACAATGCCTGGCATGCAGTAAACACTAAGTATGTGGTAGGCATATTGGTATTATTATTAATTGCTTCCATCACCCTCTCCTGAAATGTTCTTTGGGAGCTGAGGGAGGCAGGGGCCAGCAGAAGGCAGGCTCACGCTGGTGATTGCCTCTGACCAAGGAGTGGAGCCAGGGCCCCTCGCCGGGAAAGGAGGAAGGGAAAGAGAGAAAGAGAGCGAGAGAAACATCAATGCTGAAAAAGAATCATTGGCTGCCTCCTGTATACCCCACACTAGAGATCAAACCCACAATCCAGGCATGTGCCCTGACTGGGACTCGAACTCTGACCAGCTGGTGCATAGATTGATGCTGAACCACTGGCCACACTGGTTGGGAGGAAACTTATTTTTCTTGGAAACTATTCATAGTCTTTCTTTCCCAATTTCTCCTTTGTAAATAATTTGTTTTAAAATTAGCTGATGTCTTCATATGTGTTTATATGTTTATCACTTAAGTGGGTACATAAATGGAGGTCATTTGCTTCGTGGTTAAGGAAACACGCAGGCTTCAGAGCTGGGGACATCTGGGTTCTAAGCCTGGCTCCGCCACTTACCAGCGGGGTGACCTCTGAACAAGTTTGTTTTCTCATCTGTCAACTTGAGCAAGACTCTTGCAAGAATCAAATGAGAAAAGTTACGTAAATCATTTATCACAGGGCCTGCACAGAGGAACACTCAAAGTTCACCAAGTCATTCTCTGTGGCGGTTATTATGATTACCCCTTGGTGTTCCCCGGAGATCATGACTAAGTGGCTGGTGAGCAGAACTCACCAAGGGCTTGAGGGGACTCATAGAGGAGTATGCTCCACCCCCTGCCCCCACACTTAGCTATCCTTGGGGTTTTCTGGATTTGAGGAGCCCCAGGGTAAGTGTTGTGGAACCCTCACTTGAAGATAGACCAGTGTCTCACACCTCGTGGAGAGGAGTTTTACAGCTCAGGCGCTTTGGCTGTCGCCCAGTTGGGTGTCATCCTGAGAGGGAAGAGAATTCTGACAGTCCCTCTGTGCAGTTTTAGAGCATCTGCCACGCCAAGCACTGCTGTCATGTGACCAAGATCAGTGTCCAGATTACTTGGATGTGGCGGCTGTTTTCATATTAGAGTTTACTAAAGCAACCGGGATGTTTTGCCACGATCATAAACATTTGACTAAGTCAGTTTAACTTCCTTAAAGGGAAAGTCTATCTGTTTGCATAAAACATTCAGAGGCAGAGGTGAAACTAAACTTTAAAAAAAAAAAATCCATAAGAATGAAGTGAATTGGTAATTTGAATTGATTTTTAGCAACTTGGCCTGCTCCCTTTTCAAGTGGTTATTTTATTTTTTTATCTACATGGTGCCTACGGTGTTGTTAAAGCGTGCTTAGGGTTTGTTTGTTTGTTTTTACTACCTAAAGTCCACACTTCATTGAGATTCTCTTAATTTATCTAATATACCTTTCCTGTTCCCATTTAAGATAACACTTTACCTTTTTAAAAAAGATATATTTCTTTATTGATTTCAGAGAGGAAGGGAGAAGGAAAGAGAGATAGAAACATCAATGATGAGAGAGAACATTGATCGGCTGCCTCCTGCACACCCCCTACTAGGGATCAAGCCTGCAACTCAGGCATGTGCCCTTAGCGGGAATCGAACCTGGGGCCCTTCATTTCTCAGGCTGACGCTCTATCCACTGAGCCAAACCAGCTACCTTTAGTTGTTATATCTCCTTACGCTCCTTTTGGCTGTGACAATGTCTCAGACTTTCCTTGTTTTTTATGATCTTGATAGTTTTAAGGGGTATTCGTCAGGCATATTGTGGGATGCTTCTCTATTGGAATTTGGTGCCTTTTTCTCATGATTAGACTGAGATAATAATGGGTTTTGGGAAGGAAGACCATGGAGGTAGAGCTATTCTCATTACATTATATCAAAGTATGGACTATCAGCATGACTTTCACTACTGATGTTTACCCTGCTCCCTTGGCTGAGGTCATGTTCTTCATGTCTCCCTATAAAATCAGTCTTTTATCCCCCTTCCTATGCTGTACTCTTTG